ATGACTGTGAACTTGCTAGATACTTTTGTTTCTTTATCATACATTTAGAGTATTAAAATTGCTACTGTTGTAAAATTCTCTTAACTACTTTTAGTGTCATCACAGATGATGGATCAACAGCACAAAGGTATGGCCATTGTGCCTAAACTTGCCATGAATGTTATGAAATGTGAAGTGGTACGACTTCTTCAGCTGACAAAATTATCAGTGGTCCCCATCAGTTACTGTGTGCCACGAAAGGTAAATTATAACTGAATCAAGTAACTCTTGACTCATCCATTTGTCCATTTGTTATTGCTCTTCCTTGTTTGTTTTTTCTCTTCTTTCCTCATTTCTTTCATGCATTTTTTCACTTTTTCAACTTGTTTCTTGGCCCATTCTTTATTTTTATTTTTCTTTCTTTCTCTCTTTCTGCCCATGCATTCAAGTAACTTTTTACTCAGTCAATTAAATTTTTATTGAAGTCTTACAGGGATTTTCATGCAGACTTGTTTCCTGATACATTTGCAAGAGAAGCATCCATGACAGCAGAAGAGTGGTTTAGTGGATCCAATCACCCTGTAAGTTACTGAGTATCTAATCCTTGTGTTATTTCATTTATACTTCATTCATGGGTACATTGTGAAAGAAGATTAATTTGAGCTCCTTTGTGAATAAGGAAAGTTGTCATTTATATTGTCACAGACATTCGAAGAAGAAAATATCAGTCTTCCTGTGTGGAATTGAATGGAATTAGAGCTAAAAAGGTATATATTGTTTTTCCTAACAGATAAGAAGAGTTTCCCTTGATCCATCCAAACGACAAGCGGAACATCAAAAAGCACCAACAACACAAGAAAAACCACAGAAACCCACACTAAAGCCAAAATCAGCCATGGAAAGTCAGAAACCAAGTGTTGCAGTAGAAAAGGTAAGTTATTGTGAGTTCTCTCCGAACATCAGGTTGAATTATATTGCATTTTAATTTGCAATTAGGAAGTAAAATGTCTAAACCGCATTAAGACTCAGGTATGTGTCATCCCTGCCAAGAACTGCAACAGTGATAATCTTGATTGTGTGACCTGCCATTCAACAACTTGAATAGAGTCTAAAGAGTTTAGAATTTGTATAAATATTTGGTAATTACAATTTGCTATTATTGTGTTCAAGCAGTCAACAAGTGAGTCCAGAGAATCACCCAAAGGATTAGCTTCTCAACAAAATCAACAAGCAGGGAACAAATCAACATCAGCTTCTGCTCCTAAGGCAGAACCTTTAGCAAAACCAAGAAAAACTTTTACAGCTGCACGCATGTCAAAATTCAGACATCTCCATGGCACTCCTATGCACAAAAGCAATAATATAGACAATGTACGCAATTTGAGCATATCAGTTCTAGCGGACTCTGATGGTTTTCAAGTCAATCAGAAGTTTGCAGCTTTTCCTTTATCAGGACCCGGAGGCCAAATAGCTGTAGTCCCTGTAAGTAATCCATTGAACATGCATTTGTATCTGGTCAAGCCAACATTTTTCATGAATTTGATTGCAGTGAAAGTATTTGCATGGGAGATACTTTGGTGGTGAATGAAAGGAGATCCCTGAACGAAAAACTAAGTGTATAGGTACAATACAAGATATGGATCCATACTTTCCCAAAGTTACCACACCAAGGACAGAGTGGTGGAGAAGCAAAATCTGAATTTTTTTGTAGGATTTTTATTTCAGTAATGACCTTCCTGAGAACCATATTCGAATGATTGGAAGCCCTCCTGTTAATACATGTTATTACTTTGGTTATAAGTTATAATTATTCCTATTGTTATATAGTCTAAATTGTTATTATTAGGGACACCTAATGTTAAGAAGACGTTAACAAACTTGTGCCTGTGCGACTCGCGTGTGCATGCTTTGGAACTAGGTCTACTAGGTTAATAATTTCTTTAGCAAATCATGCGGACCTTTTTATTTTTGACATGTGCAATTTTGTTAGAGAAGAGTTGAAAGTTTTTTAGTTTACTGAGTGGTGGTTTGTTTAACGATTGTTGTTGTTTAGTATGAGTTTACAGTTTTCCGTGTTGGAATAAGCGTGTTTGTTTTGATTTTCCTTTTCAATTCCGAACACCTAAGTTATCTTATAATTTGATCAGATTTGTATTTTCAGCTAGATAAGCCCGGACGGCTTCCAGATTCAGGCTTGCCTGTAATTCAGTGTGGTAGTGGTGTAATGGATTTTGCCATGGACCCATTTAACAAACAGAGATTAGCAACTGGTAGGTTGGGTACAATGTATAAATCTGGGTCAGCTCTTGACCCAGGTGCGCCAGGCTGTCTAAGCCAATCCTGATATCAGGGGTGAAGGTAACCAAAAGTATTACTACTCCTGACAGTTGTCCAGCCCCCAGTTTGTACCCCTGTGTGGAGGGTTTTGCCCAACGACACAAAATAATGACCTGCCCAGGTCTTGAACTTTGACCTCCCAAGGTTTTGTTCAAAGTGCCAGCCATTAGACCAACACTTCTTCTCACTGGGTACATT